GTGTGTGTGTGTGTGTGTGTGTGTGTGTGTGTGTGTGTGTGTGTGTGTGTGTGTGTGTGTGTGGCAGTGCAGCTCTCCAGGTGTGTGTATATAAACCTGCATGCTGACTTTAAATTTCCAACAGCCCTTTATCACAAAACACATTATGTCAAGAGCTTTTTATTAATCCATGGCTGGAAGAAAAACATGTAAAAAAAAGCCACAGTACTTTTTTCGGTGGTGTTTTGAATTAAGTGAATTACAGCCCTTTGAAAAGACGGAAAACACACAGACATGCGTCTTTTTCATTCTCACTTGAGGGTGGAGGTGCGGTTTCTCTTGCCTCGGCCGCAGTGAGTCTCTGTGTCTGCTCGGCACACAAACCATTTCCTGTGTCTGCTTGCCAAGCCAATCAGATGACAGAACCAGCACGGTTGCGTTTGAATGTGTTTTTAGACACGATAAAGTCTTCATTGATTTGTGCTGAGACTTTTTTTTTTTTTGATGTTCTGGCTTCCATTCATGGTGTAGCAAAAGAGTGACAGGCCAAATGTTATTTATTTATCTAGAAATGATCTGTGTATGTCAGTGAGCACTGCGTAAAGAAGACTTATCTTTGATAAGGAAACTGGAAGATGTCCTTGGACATTTCCATGCTGCTTTGTTGTACATAATGCAGACCCAAGGTCTTTCTGTTTTCCATCCTCACTGCTGAAGCAATTATTGATGATTAAACTCTCTCGGCTATGTTTTTGCTGGCATTGTACATTCGGAGTTATGAACTATTCAGTTGCTTACCAAGATGCACTTAATGTCGAACACTAAATTACAGACTCAGGCAAGCACAAGCAGCCATGAACAAGCACCAGATATGTATTTAGTTCACTACCGATGTAGAGCCGAGTGTGGACAATTATTCCACACTCACAAACGCAGCAAGAATTCAAGTGATTAATCAAAGGGGAAGATTCAGCACTGAAAACAGACTCAGGCTAGATGTTTGTTCACTAGTTGCAGGACTTGCAGTGCACAGTTTATTTATCACATTGAACCAAACTGTGAATGTGAACCAAAACAGCTGCTAAGCTTCACAGTCAAAACCCTATTAGCTTGCATTTTTCTTTCTTTCAAAGTGTGTTTTTGATCACATACTGACCTTGTAAAACAGCAGTAGTGACCGAAACCAGTTTTGTTACATGCAGCCGTTCAGGAGGAGCGCCAGCGAGCCAAGGAGAAAAATGAGAACGAGGTGGAGTCTACCAGCTGCGCCAACGAGGACATGCCCGTGGAGAAGATCCTGGAAGCCGAGGAAGCAGTAGAACCTAAAACCGAGACCTACATCGAGACCAACCTCGGTGTGCCATCAAACTCGGTGAGTTTTTTTGTGTAATGCAGATTCAGATTATATGATTTTTATGTTTATATTTACACTCATAGGAGCACACACAGTGATTTATCTAGACTTACTTTGGATGGTGGGTCAGTTTTTCCACCTATTTAGTTCCCTCCATTTGATACCGTGGTTACTGCTTTGAGTTCTTTTCTCGTTCTCAGTATTTTACTCACTTGACAGGATGATTATCTGTCAACTGTTTCATCTTGGCTGGCTTCACAGCTTCAGTCACGATCACCTGAAGACATTCAGTATTCCAATGGTGTTCTCAAGAAAACCAAACTCATCCAACTCATTCAAATGTCCAGACTGAATAATCTCTCAGTTTAACTGGTTTGGGTTCATCGCAACTTGAGGATGTGAACTTATTCAAATATTTCTCCTTCCTCACCGATTAAACCTTTATCATGCTTTCCATGTCTGTGAGTCTGCTCGGTTCCACTTGTGTCCAAGTGCCAGAAATTTGATCATCGGACGTGACTGTGAGGGTCCGTACGGACATCCGAGTGCCCGTCTATTTTTTGTGACCTGATGGACTTTTCTGCAGAGAATTTAGTTTACAGCTATGCATGTGCTCCAGTCGGTGGACTTCAAAGAAATATAACAAATATAACTACCGTACTCTACCGTTTCCAGCTATCTGCGTCCATGCCAGCAATGGAATATAATCAACGCATTATCCAAACTGAGCAGTAGCAGGAGGAAGGGTTTGTTGCAGTCTGGCTAAAGTGAGTGAGTTCATGAAAGATTGATGTGTCACAATCATATCAGAGTTTCTCTTGGTCCAAAGCCAACTTGTGTGTGTTAATGGACACCATAGGCTTGTTTTCTTTGAATAAGCGAGACCCATCCAGTCGTGCACTGTTTAATGATATAATACATTTTTCTAATTCATTTAAGTTAAAATAACTGGCAATTTTTATTGAAATTGTCACTTTAAGAATAACAATACTGTGAATGCTTTTCAGCATTCACACTAATTAGTGATATGCACCATTGTTATACCAGTGGTACTAGTCATACTAAACTATGAATTTCTGATTAGCTGGAAATTAGTTGTCAATAAAAATGCCTTAGCATTAAGCACAGGTTGATTCATTTCTAGATCTCCTCTACTGTTTAAATTATTGTCAAAATGTCTTTTTTATTGCATTTATTGCTTAACACTATTGTTTTCAACATCTTGACTGGAAGCTTGAAAAACACAACATCTGTGTTCTGACTTCTTTCTTTCTTTTGTCATTTTCTTAAATGTGAAAGCTTCCCAACAGCTTTCACTTAGGAGCTCCTAGGTATTGGACAGTAAATACAATGAATCTCAGTTAAAAGGCAATTTAAAATCTCTGCATATGCATGCTAAATACTAAATGTAGTGGTTTGCAGTTAGTATAAAAGAGCTGTTCACTTTTAGATTTATGGCTTATGAGTTATATTTTAGAAATTTATGCTTCAAAAGACTCACTGGAGCTGCTCCACCATTGTCCACAAGTTGTTTTAATTCTTTCCATGTGTGAGTGCTTCATGTATTTCAGTTCTGCAGTGAAGAGTGCCAAACGTATAAGTCAAGTCAGATTTGCCTGCATGTGGATATGCTTGCTGTAGTAATGTTTCACATCAACCATGTTTCAGATAAATTACACATTTTAGTTCCCTGTTTTTTAAAGCTTGCGGCTGTTTTTCTCATCTACCTGCTGCCTGATGGTAGACATGTTACTGAATATCAAATATAAATACCTTTGTTATCTCCTTCGGGGCTTTTTAGGTTACCACTTGTGGACTCAGGAACTAGCTTACCTGGTCTATTAGCTCCTTCACTCAGCTGTGTGTTTCCTCATATATGCCCCTTAGTATCAGCTGGGCACTGTGGGCCGTCTTTGACACAGTGGCGACTAGGAGTGATGAATAATGCAACAGGCAGACTGTTCCTGAAAGCATACCACAAAGCCTCAGCTTTCTCAGGAATTCTGCTGGGAAACATGGGAAACAGAGGAGCTGTGCAGAAGCCTACCAAAGGAGGCGGGGAGGGGGGAGAGATGGGAGAGTGAGACTGAATGAGGGAGGGAGAGAGAGGGGACTTCTTCTGGGATTCATCTGCTTCGGGGGAAGGAAATGTCTTGTGAAGTAAAGGTAGAAATGTGAAGGCTGTTATGTGAGTAAATGGGAGCTATTTTCGGGGGGCCAGATGGAAATGTAGGAGATGAGCGTTGGCATTATAGGGAGAGGAAGGAGGAGTAGGGATTCATGGGGGAGCGGCTAGCAGCTCAGACATACTAATGCACTGAGTGTTTGGGCTCTGCCACGCTGGGTCTCTCGATGCCCGCTGCCTGCCCAACACCAAGAGGAAGATTTCTAAGGGCCTCCACAACAGATTAGAAAACCGCAATGAAAGTGTTTAAAGGCTTGTTTTAAATGTATTCTTTGCCGACTCCTGAGCAAAATCATATTGGAAATCATATGAATATGCTGAAAATAGTTTTAAAACTTAAATGTAATGCATTACACCGATGAATGTATCAAAGGCAATTTGGGATTCAGTATTCTGCCCGAGGACACTTTGGTCATGTGAAGTGAAGGAGCTGGAGATCCAACCACTAACCTTTTTATTGGTAGTCGCCTTCCTTTACCTTCTAAGCTACAAACAGATATCTGCCTGTTAAATACACAAATATTCAGGGTCATCAAGGGTCAAGAGCTTTTTGGTTTCTTTTTGTTGTCTGTTTGTAGCCAAAGTTTAATCGATGCATGGAAATAAATAAAATAAATGTCTGCATTGAAAGCAAGACAGAGGAAAGGTATTTATCGAAATATAATCTCACGAATATTAGCTATTGTTAGTGATTTAAATATTTATCAGCTGAATCTTTCATAATGTTAGCTGTGTTTGCACTTAATGTTACCAAGCTACTGTAAGATATATGTGAATATATATATATAAAAGTGGTACAGGGCTTCTTCATGATGATGAAAGCAGCGGAAAACCTCACAAAGGTGAACTGGATTCCAGGCTATTGGTAGGAGATGCCCAGCAACAATTGGTGTCACTCAGTTTGTCCACCAACCAAGTATTGGTAGCCTGGGCTGTGGTGGGCATTTAAAATTCTTAGCCACTACTGTATATAAACCCTAAACCAGGACATTAAGTATAGCTGGATATGACGAGGAATAAAAAATGAAATATAATTTTGTTTTTTGATTTGAGTGAGCGGATCCTTTAATTGAAGTGAAGCCTGCAATGTTGGCAGAGGCTTGGCATGCATTCTGTCCTGACCACAAGGACTCCTCTGCTATCCAAATGCTGTTCCCCTGCCTCCCCCCTACCAGGTCTCCATTGAGAACCAGTGCTCCATGTTGTAATTAATCACATGACCTGGGTCATGAGTGTACACCATGAATAGGCCACCGCCACTGTCTAATGGTCGGGGTCTGGCCAAGCTGAATAAGGTGTGTTTATCTCATGCTGACCTAGAACAGGAGTTAAACAGTCGTTAGTAATATGCCTTTAGTCAGTGAGAGAAAGGTCTTCTTCTAAGTAGGAAGGGTTAGGGCAGAGGGGAAAATGTTATCATTCACTAATCCTTAGGGTTTACTTCCATTTTATACATCCCATTTTCTTTCTTTTTTGTGTTATTTCTTGCTGTTATTTCTACTATATTTGAATTACTTTATGGAGAATTTTAATAACAGGTCTTATCTTTCTGTTAACTGTAATTATGACATATGAAGAAAGGCTTTTTTTGTTGTTGTTTTTTTTTTAATCTAAAAAGTGGGACACTTGAGTAATTCATTTTTATCCTGATCTGTGTGAGTACCCAATTTTCTCTCTGTTGTCACTCTAGTACAGTGTGGTTCAAGCACAATAATGAAAGACTGAAGGGCAAATCTTTTGTCTCCCCATGAAAATTTCATAGGGAAGAATGCAAGTTGCTAATCGACCGCAGCAGTGGAAGGGTGTCTTGCTAGAAACACTTTGATTTGCCTGGATTGCAGACAGTTTTGTTTGTGGCAGACGTATAAACAAAAACAAAACAAAAAAAACAGTAAATGTCCGTTTATGACCTTACTCTCTGTGTCAGGTGGGTTTTTTGGTGTTCTTGCTGTTTTTCCTCCACATTTTTTGCCACTAATCTCCAAATTAAAAGAAAAAGTAGTCTTTCTACCTAACCTGTGAGATAATTTTTTTTATAACTGTAGAGGTTATCCTTTCATGGGTCAGGGGCTGATAACATCCCAAAGTCCACTCTTTGGCTTGAACAGTAAGTACAGTAGATGTAATGCTGTACTTAGATGAATTGTTTGAGGAAGTTGTAAGCCCCTCTCCTCGTCATCTTCACAGACGGTGACAAAGAAACCAGGTCAGTCTAAACACAGCTAAGATAGCCATGCAACATTCATAAGGTTTGCCATGTTTAACGAGAACCCTGGGACTTGTATTCTTATGGGGAGCGGTGGCTCAATTGTGGCGCACGCTGAAGCCCCCTGTGGTTTTTATTTGTTTTTTGGCGGGCTGTGCCCTTTGGAATGAATTAACCGGATCTGTTTATGTTTTGGGGAGGAAGCGCAGTTCACGAAAACTGTCTGAGCTGCGGCGTCCACATCTCCCACGGAGATCAGATGCTGAAATATTCATAAGGTGCCTGTTTTCTTTCTCTCCCTGAAGAAAAAAAAACAAGATGACTTACAGTTTTCAAAACAGTGTAGGCTTTGTGTCTGGTTTAAGTTTTTCAGATTTGAGCTGCGTATTTGTGATGCTCTGCAGTCAGTGTGTTAGTTTCACACCGCAGGGAGGGAATGTAGTGGAGAGGATGGGATAGTCTTTGCCCTGTGTTTTATAAAAGGAGAATGTGAGTGAAGAGATATTTTCTCCTTCATCTTGAGCTAATCTCCTCTGGAGAGCTGCAGTTGATGTCAGGATCCTCCTAGCTTTTAGCATCGATCTGTGGGATTTGGAGGAGAAGTTGGGGAGAAGTTGCTAACTGTTTTTGTCAGAGGGCGAGTTCATGTGGAGCTACTTAGAATTTAGGGATGCTGACTTGATTTAAAATTATGCACAAAAGCATGTTCACAAAGCCTTTGTTTACACACACGCATATCAAGAGTAGCATGTGTACTCTTGGGATGGCTGTGAATTACTTGTCAGAGAATGGCAGTATTGTTGTGGATTTTTTTAACCCAAAGCCCAGATGGAGTTACAGTTTACGGAGTTAGTCATGTATGCATTGCATTAGTATTCTACCGCTACTCCCCAAGGGTCAAAGAACAATACTTTTGAATCAAATGTGACAGGACAGTTAAGGAGAACAAGTCCTTGTCTTTGCAATTTTGCATTCATTGCATGCAGAAGTTGTCTTCTTCTATAAAGAACACACTTATCATTAGATATACATTAGCAGATAAGGATCAAATCTGGCTTTGTTTTCACCTCAACTTCAGTTTGTATGTTAAAAAAATAAGCTCTAAATAAAAGACATGCATTTATTTAGGCTCATACCATTATTTTGTTGACTAAAGCTAAAAAGGTGCACACATTCTTTTCCCTTTCATTTTTTTGGTGAGCGGGAAACGTTTGTTTTCAGGAATTACATTTTGTATGCTGCGTTGTCTATCAATGGACAAGTTTTTTTTGCTCTTGGTGCAGCTATGACAACTTCTATAAAAGCAATTTTGGCAGTTTGCCGGTCTGGAGCTTTCAGGTGCGTGTTAACACAATACCACAGTCTTCCCAGTGGGGAGCAGACGTCCCAGCAAAATCACCCCAAGGGCAGATGATGCACTGCACAAAGATCTCAGACAGGCCTCAGTTAGCGTGCTAAATGTTGAAGTTCATAACAAAAGACCGAACAAGTATGGCCTCTTCACTCTTCAAAGAACATGACAGAATGGCTTAGGTCCGTGAGGTTGCAACTGAACAAACCTCGAGACGAAAACCCCAAGCAATGCCATTTGGACAGAGTGTTTGGCCATAATGCACGGCATCACATTTGGTGAAAACCAAACACAACACCTCATACCAACTGTCAAGAAAAGAAGTGGAGGCATGATGATTTGACCTGGGGACCTTTCTGTCCTTGGGTCAACGATGAACTCACGATGAAATATGAGGCCATTTGTCTGACTGCTAGAGCTTCCGGTTATGTGACCAAAATTTGGTCGTATATAACTGGCCAGCAACAAGACCACAACAGATTGGCTGAAAAAAAAAATATTTCAATTGTTGCATTGGCCCACAAATCTGTGGAAATATCAACTCAACTGAAATATTGTGGTGGGACCTAAAGAGAGCTGTGCATAAACAAATGCTCTTAATGAACTGCAGCAACGTAGTGAAGAAAGGACCCAAATTCATCCACGATGATGTTGAGAGGTGTTACTTGAAGTCATTTCTGCCAAATGTGGTTATCAGCATAATTACACAATCATTATTAGAAGCATTACTGTGAGCACATTGGTTTAACATTTTACAAAGCTGTTCCTGGTGCTGTGATAAAGTCCTCTTTGAGCTCCTAACCACTTGCTCTGTAGTAAAGTGTCAGTGGAGCCTCTCGAGGGCCTCTTGAGCTCTACTAGCTGTCAGAGAGGCTGATTTGTGTTTTGGCTAAAAGGTCCCCAAAGAAAGAGTCAGCTCAGCGAAAGTTGTTTTTTCACTGACAGCTCTCTGCAGGTATTTCCTCCACAAGCTGAGACAGAATCACTGTTTGTTTTTTCACCGTACCTCTTTAGAAGATATTATTCACGGCGGGCACTCATGTTGGTGTCAGTGTGTGTGTGATTACGTAGTTATAGGTACTGTGCCATGAAAAAAGCCCCTTACTGATTTCTTATTTTTTTTGCACTTTTGTCACAGTTACATGTTTCAGATCATAACACAAATTTTAATATTAGACAAAGATATACTGAGTAAATACAAATGGAGTTTTAAAATCAATATTTTAAATTTACTAACCCTTTAAAACCTGAACCATGAAATAACTGCCAGAAATCTATAGAAAATCTCTCTATATAAATATATATAAAAAAATATTTGATATATCAAATTTAATTTGCATATGTATGAGTTTTAATTTGTATTACATTTGCTACATTAGCCATATTTTTGCAATTTAGTCATTAAAAATGTGTTAAAAAATGTGTTATGCCAATTATATTTTATAGGGTTAAAAAAGTCACGCTGATGATATAGAAGTCTCAAAAACTCACAAAAACACATGCATCAAATACGATACGCTTGGCTTTAAAAGGTTAAGGAAATCGAAACCTTCCTTGCACCATGTGAAAAAGTAATTGCCCCCTAAACCCTAATACCTGGTTGTACCACCATTGGTAGCAAGTGTGAGAAATATGCAAAAGAACTAAAAAATCAGGAAGGGTGGGGAAATAGCACTCATAGCACTGTAGCTCAATTATGCCCTAGCACAAGGCTCTCAGCCAAAAGACACAAAGCTAACATTTCAATCTTATTTAATTCACACTGTAGTTGATTTTTTGACTTATTTTAACCTGTTCTATCTTTGTCTCTCGTCCCCTGCAGCCCAACGACCCAGTGACAAATATCTGTCAAGCAGCTGACAAACAACTTTTTACCCTGGTTGAGTGGGCTAAAAGAATCCCCCACTTCTCTGAGCTGCCGCTGGACGACCAGGTCATCCTTCTACGAGCAGGTCTGTCGAGCTGACTTAAGTATTTTGCATAATCTAACCAGCAAACAATCTGCAGTGATTGGCAGTGATGATATATAATTAACAGGATATGGGTTGGAATCAATGGTCATTGTTATATGAATAAATTGAATCAAATTTGCTGGTTCAACAAACCACTGATTACTCAGTGTAAGATGTATTGTATTATGCCCACTGACTGTGTATTAAAAAGGCAAGTAATTGCTGCTGTTTAAAATAACAAGGGTTAAACAAAAATAAAAATAACAGAATCACAGGACATTGTTTTCATTGTTAAATAAGTCACATTTGTAGATACAACAGATGCCCATGAACATTAATAATATAGTCAGAAAAAAAGAGAACACTGGATACCTCTCGGTCATGTGACTGATGCAAGAGACAGACCCAGAGTCTCTTCATGCATCTGCTGTATGAGGAAAAGCAAGCATCACAGAAGCAGCGACGTAAAACGGAGAGTGAATCATCTGTCACTTCTGCTACAGTCACTAATGTCACATGCAGGAAGGTCTTTTGGGTTCTCCCAACACATTGCCCTTGTTGCTTGCTTGTCACTCTAAATTACACCATTATTTTCTAAATCCTCCTCCAGGAAAAAAAAATGCTATAACGCACCCATCCCTTACCCTAAAAAAACAAATAAAATAAATAAATCCTCCCATCATTCTTATCCTTTGCACATATAAAAAGATGGAGAGACTTCAGCAAAGCGGGGAGAGAGACATTATTCGGCAACGCTCGTCTCTGTTCTCAGGTTTTCTATAAATAACCGCTTTAGTTCTGCTGTATCACAGATAAAAGCATCCCGGCTCCGCTCATACCCAACTCAACTCTGGGGAGAAGAGGCGGGTGTTGCCAGGCAGAACAGTTAAAGGAGCCCTGTCACTCAAACGGCAGCGTCTTGTGTCTTCGGCGCTCCGTGTCGAGCCCCCTGCTTTGGCGCATCAAGCCTGTTGTCTTTATTGCGATGGCAGGCGCAGTTCATCCCGTTTACACGCTTGTCTCTTTAGAAAGCATGATTCAAATGTCTTAGTAATAACCTGATGCCTGTGCTTGAGAAAGCTGCATGCTTTTAGTGCGCAGCTTAATTGATTCATTGGAATTCCCTCCTTTGTTGTCAGTTTCATTTTGCTCGAATGCTGTGTGAACTTTTGTACTGGGGATTTCGGAGAGTGTGAGTGGTTTTATTTCTCATACTTTTTTCTCAGTCCCTCTCCTCATCTCTTTCTCAGGTTGGAACGAGCTCCTCATTGCATCATTTTCGCACCGCTCAATAGCGGTTAAAGACGGGATTCTGCTGGCAACGGGGCTGCACGTTCACCGCAACAGCGCCCACAGTGCCGGAGTGGGAGCCATCTTTGACAGGTTGCTAAATTTTCTTGGACTTAGTGACATCTAAATTCATGTAGAAACTGCACCAAAAACGTTTGTAAATAATATATTAGGTAGCACTTTCTAAAGGTGTGCTCGAGTAGCATGTAATGCAACCTGAAAGTAGTGCTTTGATAATATTGTGATTTATAAAGGTGGCCTATTTTTTAAGTTAATAAAAGTTAAAGAGTTAGAAAAGTATTAGTCTTACCGATACTCATATTTAGTATCAGCCGATATTTTGTTTAACATCAAGGGACACAAAACATTTGTTAAGTGTATTTATTTATTTATAAGTCCTTACTAAGATGTTGTAGAAATTTAAAAATAAACTTGTTTCATTGTTACAAAAACATTTGGATTAGTCCTTTATTCTCTGCCTAACTTTTGTCAGATCAGCTGATTTGGCGGTCTAAACATATTGCATTAGAGAAGTTGTAGAGTGCCCCCTGGTGGACAAACTATGCAGCATCAATCTCGTAACATGGTTAAAGTTAGTTCTCCTGTTTCTTCATATATTTTAAATTTTTTATTTATCGGCTGTTTAAAAATACTGATATCAATATAATGGCAAATGAGTAATATCAGCCAATAATATCGGCTCATCGGTGTATCAGTCTCTCTCCTGATAACACGTTAGCATTAGAAACTCAGACTAAAACTCAGAGCAAAGTCTTTGCCAGCTGTGAAATCCCATGAGGTTTTGATACAGCACAAATATTGCCAATGTGGAATAATAACTGTAACAATTCCAGTGTGTCTTTGTGAGCTGGATGTACACGCTGTTGTGTCGTACAGGCTCCCTTTAATTGGCACTTGGGCAATTTACATCTGTAGTTGTTTTTCTTGGCCTTAATTCATTAATTATACTGCATTTTGTGGCATATTTTCAGTTGCATCTGCAATGCAAAGCAGCACTCTTTCACAGCATTCTTCCATTATGATTTGTTCTTAACATCACTTCCCCCAAAATCCAAACAACGGATGTTGATCCAATTCAAGAGACAAGCTCCTTGCGTTCTGCTGTGCCAGACATTGGATTTTTGTTGTATATTTGTCTTTTAGTCCAACTTCAAGCTTTGTGCTGCAGGGACCAGCTGTGATAGGCAAACACAGACACATGATCAAGTGTTGATTTAGAGAGTGCCTAAATTGCTTTTGCTTTGCGTTTTATATTGGCAGAGTATGCATTTTAAATGTCATAATTGTGGGAAGACAAAATTCTGATCGAGATTAAAATTCTATTAAATGTCCACCCCTTGTAGAATATTTCATGTAACATTGAATCGAAACAATGAAATGTTACACAAAATGGGGAATGCCAAGCAGCACAGGCACAATTGATTGACTCCAATATATAAAATATTTACGCCTGTACACAACAGGGGTCACACAGAACCTCTCATATCTTATATAGACAATCCATGCACCATAGAGTCACAGCGCAGCTGGATGCAGGAACCACCCTTATGAAAGTTTGTCAAACGTATAAGAAAAATATATCTTACATTTTGTTTGTATTGGTTTGGGATTTTTTGTAAATATATATTTTTTAAACTACGTTACTCTTGAACAGTTCTGGTCATGGATTGTTATTATATTTTGAAAATTAAAAACTGCAAATGAAGCGCATGTTTCCTTGCACAGTTTTGGAGCCAGCAGAGAATTTGCAGCTGCACGTGCTGTCATCAGACTCAGTCAAGCCACAGTCAAACTTTGAGTACTTTCTTTGTGTCTCCCTTCTTGCGCCTCTGATCAGCAGCCTGTGCGCTCAGTCATCAGCGTTCACAGCCACAGGACATATTCCATCTCTTTATTAACTGTGGCAAGCATTAAGATGCAGAGAACTGATAATGTTTCTTTATCTGGTCCACTGTCTCTTCTCCATACAAATGAAGAGACTGATCAACTTAAACGCTTGAGTCCCTTTCCTCTCTCTCTCCCTCTCTGTCTTTTTTTAAGCTCTGTTGTTCCTCCTTAGAGCAAATTGAATTAGAATGAGCTAAGAGCCACAATTGACTTTACTATCTGGGCGCGAGGAGCAGAAAGAAACGGAGTGAGAGGGAAAATAAAGAGTGCCAGGGAGAGGGTGTGACCGAGTCAAAGTGGGGTGAGGAGTTCGAGCGACTCCACACGCCACCACTCCCACCCGTGATGTCACACACAGACAGTGGGAGCACTGGTGTTAGATTACAGCTTGTGTTTACTCTGCGGCTTTCGTTTTATGAAAACCATGTACTAAATATAATTACTTTGCAGGGCTGTAAACTTTTCCACTGATCTAACTGTGCCAGTGTGGGCCCAGAGTAAGCTTGTGTGCATGTTTTTTCAAATAGAGGCAAACTTGAAAGTGGTTAAAACCGTATTTGCAATGCACCAGTCAAGAATAATGTGTCATTTGCAAAAAAAAAAAAAAAAAATCCAGTTAAGTGTTATCTTTAATTTTCTGCCACTGGTTTAGTTTCATTTTACACAAATATTGTCTATTAGCCAAGAATTAAATATTCTTGACATAGTATTTTAACCTGAGTAGCATCTCTGACTGTCTCCTGTTGCTTTTGTGCAGAGTGCTGACAGAGCTGGTGTCAAAGATGAGGGACATGCAGATGGATAAGACAGAACTGGGGTGCCTTCGAGCTATTGTCCTTTTCAACCCAGGTAACCATTGTGTATATTATATAAAAGCTTTCATTTGCTGTTTGTACAATGCAAACTCTTGTTTCATTTTTCTCTTTTTTTTAGTTTCAACTTTCATTAAAAAATATATATATATATATTCAGTAATGTAAAATGACTAAAAATCTTTTAGAGAAATGGGTCATCAAACTAGTGCGCTGTGTAATTCTTCCTTCAGAGTAATTGTTGTATACTGGCTTTTTTTTTCTTTCTGAACATCAGCGTATTCCAGTGAAATGCAACTTTTATTAAAAGTATAAAGATCTTGTGCACTGTGGCGTGGTGCTGCTACTGTTTCTAGCTATAATCAGCCGACACAGACGTTGCAGGAATAGAATATGAGTCATTGAGGACTCGAAGCGTAACGCTTAGTCAACACAAACTCTTCAACTTTGATTATTAAACCTTATCCCACAGCAGGCTTAAAATAGAACATGACAAATGTGTCTTATTCTCATTGGCTCAGCTTTCATTTGGCTTTAATCAATTCCAGTGGGAACAACTTTTCACATTGGGGAAATGGTCTCAAAATGCTGCTAGACTTTTGTTAAAAGTAAATATAACGTATTTAGATTCAAGAACGCTGTTGCGTTGTGCATCACTTATGTCTCAGCTCTGGTATCTCAGCTTGTAATGGAAACTATCTCCTTGAGTTGACCTTGATTCTCTCAAGGCACCATTTTCACTTGAAATTGATGAATTCTCATTTATTTTGTAATTTGCCAACCTTGTGTAAATTTTACTACATTCCCCCGCAAAGGTCCAAAGAAAGAGTGCGCGCTTTAATTGAGGCCCGTGTCTTGCCAAGGCACTTCTGCTATGAGTGTGCTGTTCTGTATTTAAACCTTATCCAAATGGAATCTAAGTGGACTGAACTAACCCATGAATGTGACCCAGGTTTTTAGTGACTCAGTAAGGGAGGCTCCCTGAATCTCTCTGGGGCTCTGCGGATCTGCTCACCCTGGACACACTGATCCTCTGTGTTTCACATTTTGTTCAGGCCATACCCAGACCCACTGGCCCCTGTTCACTTTTCCGCCTGATTCCTTGTTAATTAGGGGTTTGCAAGACTACACTGACTGGAGAAAAAACATACGGTGGTGGGGGTGGGGGTGAAGGGACCAGATCACACACTGTGTGATCTGGTCCAGCCATTAACAACCAATGTACATTCATTGATTGTCAACTTCACAATGCTTTGTTCGTCAGAAATGTTAATCAAAGATGAGTCCAGTGAAGCTTAAATTGGTGCAGCTTGAGAATTGCGGTCTTAATTGGACTAGCCCAGAATGTGGAGATGCTTTTCCATATTGAGTTATGCTAGTTTTTCCACTGGGCAAAAGTGCAGATTTGAAAGCTTTTTCACGCCTACTTGTTTACTTCTTTGGGTTTTTTTTTCTTTTTATAGTGAAGAAGAATGTCCAGTTGTGTACAAATAACAGCAGCACAGCCTAGCCACGTGGTGTAGTGAATTCTTTTGTTCTTTCTGCCACTCTCCGCAGACTCTAAAGGTCTGTCCAACCCAGGCGAAGTAGAAGCTCTGAGAGAGAAAGTCTACGCGTCTTTAGAGGCCTACTGCAAACAGAAATACCCAGAGCAGCCTGGCAGGTAAGATCATAAACACCGAGCCCTTATTGTTACATTACCAGTTTGCGGTGCTGAGAAAATCAAGAGCACGAGTGTGTTTATTGTTGCAGCTGTTATTAATATTTAAAGTCTCAACCCAGACAGCCTCTCATGAGGTAGAAGTCAAAGAAAAAAGCTTGAAGTACATCCACACAAGAAACGTGTTTTATCAGTAGCTTTGAGTTCACCATGTTATCAGTTTTGACATAGACTGTATATCAAAAATTGATGTTGTGAATTGGTATATGAATCATTGACAGAGTTTGGATTTTTTTTAAACCAAATGTGACCGTATTAGTTGAGTTGATACAGTAGATGATGTTTTAACTTAGTAGTAGTAGTATATGCTTGATTTATGTGATACTAATTCTTTGTGTTTTTTTAATGGGATGGCAATTTTGGTCATCAAAAACAAGGGGGGTATAGATATTTACTACATTTGGTTGCAAACATGTTGGGCATGTTATCATGAGGGTATATGGGGACTGGTTAGCTTTTGGAATCTGCCTCAAGTGGTTGTGTCAGGAATTGCAGTTTCTGGCACATCTGTGGCTTTTTCTTAGCTATTTTCAGCTTGAAAGTTTGCTGAAACCCATCTACAGCTGCATAAAAAACTATTAAAATTATTATTGTGTGATAGTTTTGCACTGAAGTTTTGCCATTTGCTCAAAACAGGTTTTTCTTAGTCTTATATTTAATGTGAGGCCTGTGTGTGCAAGCATCATCAGTTCTCTTAAATCATAACTTGCAGCTGGATGGGTGAGCGCCTGCTTATGACAAAGTGCATATTTATGCCAAAACTAATGCCCCTGAAACTGCAAGCTTAGAAATTTCAGCTTTTCATCCTGTGCTAAATTCTTGTTTTGTGTTGTGACAGATTTGCTAAGCTGTTGCTGCGATTGCCTGCACTGCGCTCCATCGGTCTTAAGTGTCTAGAGCACTTGTTCTTCTTCAAGCTCATCGGCGACACGCCCATTGACACCTTCCTTATGGAGATGCTAGAAGCCCCACATCAAATGACATAATAGAGGTGAGGGGTTGAACCCTCTTTACCTCCACCCAACCCTCCTCATCAGCCTTGGATCACGAGGGGGGCCTTTTTCCTTCTTTTTTTTAAAAAATAAAAAATGAAAAATCTCCAGCAAGGGACAAATCACAAGACAGCCTTGGATGGAGAACCTCCCCCTTCCTCCCTCTTTTTCTCCTCCTCCGTCCCTTCTACCCCCTCGCCTCGCTTAGATGTTTTCAAACAATGAATCCGTCACGCCCATGGGTCTGTTTTATACCTTGTAAAAAATATAAATACGAATAAGAAATGTTATATAAGAAAACCACGCAGCAAGACGAGTGACAACGGTGGACTGAAATGAGGACGGACAGAGGACAAAAGAAACATATTGAGCCATTGTTTTCATCATCACTTTTCCTACACCTTGACAAGAAAAAGCTGAGATGATCAGGTTTTAACACATAAAGACAGAATTGCTCTTGCATATA